TATATATATAGTTAGAGTCGTATATGTTTGTACGATTTCTCAGAAATGTGACTCCCGCAGAACTCTGCTGGGTCTGGCAGAGTGCAGTTCCTGTTTAGATAAACGTGATAACAGGTCATAAATTATTAGGTTATTCGTTTTTCGTATTTTTGGAAGGGTTTTTGTTTTTGTTCAATCATTTATTGGTAGTCTTAACACTTAACACGATTTGGGGAATAAGCGATATTTTGATTAAAGCGAAAGAACGTTAGATATGATTGGCAGTTTCTCGGCGTCTCTCCGGGATATGTTGGTAAGGTATGTAAAGAGTGTGTGAGAATATGTATGGATTGCATCGAAAGTGGGCTGGTAGTAGTAGTAAATAATCGTACAACGGATATGTGGGTGCAGCCGAGACTCAGACGCTGCATTCAGTATTCACTGGTTGTTGTTGTTGTTGTTGTTCAGCGTTAAGAGTATTAGACTTGATTACAACAAATGACAACGAGTTAAGTATTTACAAAACGAGTGTAATGTCGGTTACACTTTTGGCATTGTTACTTAAATTAATAATGCAACAATTACACAGAAATGCTTAAAAGTTAAAGAAGTCTTGCCTCAAACCATGCGAATAAATATATAAATATATATACATACATATACATCTATAAATCCACATAGGTAAATATGTATATATATATGCAGCTGCTGGGGTATTACGATAGTTAATAATACAGTTTGCATTTCTTTACCATTTTGTTTATACACTCACGCACACGCAAACGCACACGCACACGCACACGCAACTACATTGATCTATATATGGTATAAATATATATAGAGAGTATAGAGTAATTATTGTATGCAGATATGTTGCTTAAATGCATATGTGAAGCTTATATACAACTTTCCTGTATGCGATTCGAAGTGGTAACGACCTCGGGCCGAAAACGATATTCGCTTAATGACGAGGTCACCGATGCGTTATTCGGACTGAGTAGGCTGACCTCCATTGGCTGCGGTGTTAGATGATATGATGATGAGGGCGTCGATGTGCTTATGTTATATGTCAACGACCCCAGCGGCGGACTACACGTGGTTATGCCCTTCTTATTGAGGGTCGCATAGCTCTGTGGTAAACGAAAGCGGAAGGAGAAAATAGCGAGGCAATAGAATAGAGTAGAGTGAGTGCCGGCTCCAACCAGATAACCAATATATAATACCAAAGCACAAATATCATTTTAACTAACTTCAGTTTTCAGCTACTCACAATTTGTTTACTTGGCCGGAACGTATAGTGGAGGACCTCGTTGCCCGAGTTGCTCAGCAGGCCAATGGTGCTGGCGTCCGTGCCACCCAGTCCCGCCATCACCCCGACGCTCTCCGCATTGCCCTTGAGCAGCTCCGCATCGCGCCCAGTGCAGTAATCGCGTGGCATCAGCCGCGTGGCCGGACTGGCGAAGCCCGGCGATGCGCCCAGGGACTTCAGTGGGCGTTTTTCTAAATTGCAATTGGAATGTGAAGGATTCGGAATGGGTGGGTCTGGAAGCGATGCAAAGGATAATTAACTTACCATACTGATTGGGTATAACATCGGGATCGGTGTCATCTATATCAGCCTGATCGCCCAGCAGCTGTGCATTGGCTCGAGTGCGTCCAGTGGCCATGGTCAAGCCATGCCCGAGCCCGTGCCCGTGCCCGCTTGGTGAGGTCCTCGTGCCACTGTCTACATTCACTTCGCTCAGCGCGCCTCGCTCGGCCGCATTGCGACTATCACAATTAATTGGAAGGAGACTGTGGTGTGCCTGGTGATTGGACTGCTCGTTTTGCATATGCCCTTGCCCCTGGCTCTGACTCTGGCTCTGGCTTTGGCTCTGATTCTGCCCCTGTCCCTGGCCCTGGCCCTGGCACTGGCCCTGGCCATTTGTGTGCGGTCCGGGATGCAGCGGGTCCAGCTGGCAATCAGCCGGTATTGCTAATTGTGTGTGCTTTACGGCCTTCAGATTATTATCATTGCGGCTGCAATTCAAATGTGTGCATTAGGCAAAGCAGCTGCCCATTAAGCTACGCCATTAAACATACCGATTTGAGAATCTTCTGTATATGGCAGCCAATATGATGCAGGATATGGCGAACAGCAGGCCGCACACGAGCGTCAGCCCGGCCAGGAATGGCGAGAGCGGCACACTAAGCCCCGTCGAGTTGCCTAAATGTGTAATAAATTATGATTACGAAACTAGTTACTCGACGCTTTAAAACTCGATTGCAATTCGCTCAACTCACCCGTTAGCTTTGCCACGCCCTTAAAGTTGATGTCGTCTATAATGGTGGGCTCCGAGCGGCCCTTCACATTGACGGCGAATATAATCATGCGATAGGTGGCTGCCTGATCCAAGTTCTCAATGATGAATGTGACAGGTGTGTGCTGCAGTTGTGTGAGAAAGAGGGAGAGAGAGAGAGAGGGAGTGAGATAGAGAGAGGGTGGGAGACAGAGAAAGAGAGGGAGAGAGAGAGAGAGAGAGAGAGTTTAAGATTAGATTGTGTACATACACAGAGACAATTTTTAGAACTATAAAAACCATTCGAAAATTTTAAAGTGACATAAGTCCTTATGCATTTCAAAGAGTTGCTTTAATTGTAGTTTTTGACCAAATATAAAATCATACGTAGTGCACATTAGAGGCTTATCTCAATGGGGATTGCTCACCAGTAAAATCAAAAATTTCAAATGAAGAACTCATAATTAACAAAAAAA